GGGGGGGGGGGGGGGGGGGAGTTCAAGCAAAGACGATAACCAAATAAGTGAATATAAAAACGGCTAAATCATGTGTAAAAATCACATATGATTTTACACTAACGATCAATACAAAGGTGTGCGGGCGACGTGGCCCACAACCTCAGGTTGTGTTTAAAGTCGCGTGAATCACATACAATTTTTGCATAAAATCACATGTGAATCCATTTTTCTTATTTTTTTATTTGATTAACTATTATTGCATTAATCTAATTATATTTATATATATATATATATATAGGAGAGCGTTCAAATAAAAACCATTCAATTTGTAAAAACCGTGAAAACCTCATTCAATCAATCATAATTTTTCATTTTGTTCATTTTTTGGTAATTATGAGAGGTTGATTAACCATTTTTATTGTGGAGGATGTTAATCATGGATATTATCATCTTCATTATTTTAATTTTAGAGAAATACATGAAACAGTTTCATTAAAATTTCATTAAATATTATATGAAACAATTTTATAACCATATATGAAACAAATTCATCAAAAAATGTATTATATGAAACAATTTCATGAAAAAATTTCATAAGATTAAACAATGAAATCGACGTATGAGGGTGGTTTGTACGGTTTTTACAAATGAGAGTGATTTTCATTTGATCGCTCCTATATATATATATACACACACACACACACACTAGTGGTGTACCCGCGCGATTCAACGCGGATGAATCACAATTCTGAAACATTAGTTTAGCCTTGAATCATGAGTTTGTGTGGTTATTTCACAAGTCAACTAACATATAAAGTTAAAGGTTAATATGGTGTATTAGCAAAATCGATTGGAAAAATAATTGCACACATGTTGAGTTTCTAAACCCATATAAAGTTGACGGGGTGGGGTACATGTAGGATTTGAAACCCTTTCAGATATTATTGTTTCAAATTCCAGTTTATTTCAAGAAAGAAAAACTTTGAATTTGAATTTGGGTTCAAAATAAGAAACAAAGTGTCAAACAACTTTGGAAAGACCAAACATATCTTTTTCATGTAAATATGGCTTACTTAAATCTGAAACTTTGACCAAACAAATTGTATGTTTTAAGCATTTGTACATTATGCATAATAGTTTGTACTTAAGAGATTTTTGAATCTCTTGCATAAATTGATAGTACTTTATGCTATAAGACTTGTAATTAAGACTTTTGGTCTAAATGCTTATTAATGTAGTGTATATATATATATATACTTCAATAAAATTTAGGACAAATTATATTACAAAGAAATATATTTTTAAGATGTT